AAAGCTCTGAGAAAAGAGACTAAAATTTCCAGGCATCTCACAATTCTCAGGAGTATTTTAAAGCTCATTAAAAAACTCCCAAATGATCTGCTTGTCAAACATAGCGTATTTCCTTGCAGGGCATAGTTATTCCAAGCATACATATGTTTTGTGTTTATATTTCATTGTACATATTTTGTTAGTCTTTATGGTGCGTTTTCTGTTATGTCTCTTTTTTGATGTGATTCATTCAAGCATCAGAGGCGGTGCACAGCCGTGGGGCACTTCTGACAGGCCGTATGTGTGTGCATGTGTAAGAGAGACATCTATCTGTCTGCTCTGACAAACTAGCTCTGTCACTGTGGTGGGGCCGGGCCTCGCTTTTTGCTGCTTGTATCAAATTGATGAGGCAATCACATGTAGGGCTGTGAAGTCATGTGTGTTTTTGTGACAACATATATAGCCTTGTGATTTGGCCTGGTCAAGAGAAACTGTTAGTACTTGGTTTGAACAGTGAAAAAGCAAGGTTTGATTCTTGTCTTTGACCTGAGAAGAGAAAATCCTCCTTTTAAGCTCACCTCTTGCTTTGACGTACTGCACATTAAATAAACAATCTGTACCTCAGTGAAGCAAATGGAAACTTGTGTGAACAACCGCCATCACCAACAATGGTGTGTTCTTTTTTATTTTCATTTTAAATCGCCATTATCTTCAATCTCCGCATCTCTGTAGTACGGGTAACAACAGTGACATCAGCGGCTGGTTGACAAAAATGCGTTTTGTGCAACATGAACAAGGGTAAACACAGGGGATTTGAATAGAACTGAAATATCGAGGCTTTAAAAAAAAATTATTTCTTGCAAAAAGCCTTACTTGCTACTGTATACCTTCAATTATGATTCTCCTTGTAGTGAATAAGAGGGTAATCATGACATTATAGGGACTTTTCATGTACCCACTTTGTTTCTTTATAAGCAATTAATGCATTTGACTGACTTAGATTCAGTCAGATTATCCCCAGTTTGCCCCACCATTCTTAAATGATTCAAAATTTGAAATCCATGGATGTTAAGTTTAAGTGTTAAGCTTGTAGTTGGGCTTGGATGAAAAAATATTGGCTACTCGCATGATCTGCAAATATGTTGTGGCTAAAATGTTCTTTAGTATAGTAACAATTTTAACATAATGTCAATGGATTACAATAGCAACCAGCTTCCTGAAATAAAACAGTATTGTGTAGGTTTGCGCTTTGATTTGACAGAATTCTCATCGTTCTATTGTAGAAGAGGGGATCAAAAGCAATTTTTTTGGAATTGCGGAAGGATCAACTCCCGTTGACCTGCACATTGAAATGCATGTGGATAAAGTTGGCAGGATATCATACTGTACTGAGGGTGAAACATGAGAGGAGAAAGTGGTTTCACAGAGCAGCAGGGGGGTGATCAGAGCGAGGCGCTGTGCCTAATTAGCACAGCTGTTTTCAACATGGTGTGAGCAAATGAAAATATTCTTAAAATCTATATTTTAAAGGTAATGTGCTTTACTTTCAGCATGTTATATAATTGAAGAAGGAAAATGCTGAGACTGCTTTCTAAAAGTGACTTGGAAGATGTTCTGTATGAATATAGTACACCCAGATTAAGATATGGGCATCCAACACATTGAGAGTAATGAGTTAAAATGGTTCAAGGTTACATAAGGTAACTTTAAGTTTACATAATGTCTTGGATGTTAGAAAGCCAAATTTGTAATGCAACTATCCTTCTCTTCTTAAAATACACTAAATGCTTGAGTAACTCTGTAAAAAAGTAAATTTTGACAGTCCTAATCTATAATACAGCCTTGCATCTACCACAAACTTCTTCCCCCTTTTTCCAAAGTAGCTCAGTCTGTTTGTAATTTGTGTTTGTGCTTCAGTCTTTTCAATAATTAAACTCAGCTTTCCATAATCCCAGATGACGACATCCATTAAACGTCTTTACACAGCATTGCCTATAACCACAACCGCAGCCTGAACTCGAAATATAAAATTGCTCTGGTTTGACACATTTCCTCCCAGTTTTGTTCCAACATAATTAGATTGTGGCTTTGTTTACCCTTGCTGCTTCTCCTCTTGATTCTTCTTGTTAAACTTTTAGCTCTCTAGCGCTGTGAACTTTGAGGGTGTTTCACAGAGCCCCCGGGGGTGTTGTAGATTTAACGCAGGTGCACAGTTTTCAGTTCTGGCAGACTTGTTCAGAGCTGGAGCGGGCGAGCGAGAAGGAGAAAGGGAGGGGGAGAGAAAGGGAAGACTGTGGTTGCCAAGAAAGCATTAGTGTGGTGTATAGCCTGCAGTCACACACATACAGATGCGGCGGTCCTGTGTGTATTCAGGAAGGTATATCGGCGTAATTGCTATTAAAGTAGCCTAAAGAGACGCCTGTTGTACTTGTGTGTCTCTGAGTGTTGGTTAGTGTATACACATGTTTGCCGTGTCCAGAATTAATTATGCTGATGAATGCAGAGCTGTCAGTGAGAGACTGGCATAATGGACATTGTTCAATTCTGTGAAATTAAATTAGACTATTTTTATTAGCCATATGTTGCAGAGTTATTGCATCAGCTTAAGTGGTACACGGGAACAACAATCGAAATGGAAATTTTAGTAGTTGCAAATATCAAATCTTCCAATTGTTCCTTTGCAAAGAAAAACTTTAAACCAAAATATGTTTTCCCTACAATTTGATTGAATTGAGTTCAATTCGATGGGCCGGAATAATTTTCTGTTTCCCTTTTGTGTGTACCTTGCCTTGTTCACTCAATAAAAAGTAATGTATTAATGATTACATTTTTGCTTTATGAAGATGTTGGTGAAAACATGGATATATTCATCATAGTCTTTTGTAGAATCAATCCACTTTGTTAATTGAAATGCATTTACCTTTTTTATTTTCTTTATTATAACTTCTTCTGACCATTGATTCTGTAAGTCAAGGCGAGACTCTATCCATTGTCTTTGAGGGTGTCTTTACTGCTGCCTGATTAGTAAGTGTCCCCGTGTTCTCTCATTATCTCTGCTCTATAGAAGCATGCAGTCAGACCTGCCTGGCCCACTTGTCTCTCCTAAGTGCTTATGTCTGGTCTGAACAACTCTGTTTATCTCGTGTTTAAATTCTAACGCATTCACAAACATTTGTCCTTGTAGTTTATTTTCACTTGGATCAACTTATTAAATATTGCATCAAATGTGTTTGCTACCCTATAAACATTTCCTATTCAGTTTTATTTTAATTTATTTTGTTTATCATAGGCTGATCATAGTAATTGATCAGAGTTACAGTATATTGTTTTGCCAATAGAGTTATGGTTCATATTGGTATTGTTGGTGAATTAACAACTTTGTAAAGTCCTCTGAGATAACTACTGTTGTGAGTTAAGGTTATACATCATGAATTTAATTTGATGTATGCAAAATATAAAAGAGTAGGCCTCATTCATAAAAATAAAAAAAAAGTGACACGGTGCTACTCAAACAGCCACCACTGCTCACTAGCTACCAATTCCAGAAATAATTTTAAAAAGTAAATTATTTTCAATCTCAGGGACGCAATTTGTCTCTTTCCACCCCTAGTGTTTTCTGAAACTCTGATGTTGATTTGGTGAACCTTATGCACATCACTACTAATCTTTATTTGAAGCATTTAACACTATTATTTTGTATTTCAAAATATATATCTTGTTTTGCTGACTTGCATAGCTGATGTAAAAAGTAAAGGGAGCAGGTGTGTGAGGAAGCCAGTCAGTCCGCATGCCCCGACAGGTGTCTGTCTTTGAGCCCCTGTCGTTTTCCACTCACATGCACTTAGTCAGTCTATAAAAAGTGATAGAAGAGGGAGAGGTATGAACAACAAAGCGAATGCCCACAGATACTGTATGTACAGGTAAGAGCAAGGACAGCTAAGCAATATAGAGACACAAAGAGGAGTCTGCAAAAATGAAAACACCTCTAGCAACACATTCCAGCATGTTCTACTTTTAGTGCTTTTTCTGTAAGATTGGTCAGTCAGCATGTACAGAATAGTTGTAGTTTTAACTATGTAAAATGTAAATGCCTATAGGGCTACCGTGCAATCCTTATAACAGTAATACTCTTTCTTATTATCCTGCAGTGCTATTTTCCTCTCTGCTGGTTCAGATCCAAACTTTGTTTAGTGATTCATTATATGACTACACCACTACCATTATTCACTGTGGAGCTTTAGGCCAAACTAAGAACATTATATTGACTTCCTTCATCCAGAGCAGTCGGAAATGAAATGAGCACTGATCCAGCCATGTATCGCTTGAATAAATAGCCAAGATAGTATGTGTGTTAAGAAAATAAGCTTTTCAAAAATGTCCTTAAAAACATGTTTGAATTTCATTCAAACACACAAACTTTTCTTTTAAGCCCTGTAACCAATTTGATTTGGAAGCCTTGTTGTAGTATTTGATTTTCTGATGTCCTGAATAGACAGTTTTCTGCAAACATTTGAATTGCATCCTGTAGCCTTGTAATTTTTCCTTTTATTCAGCTTCTCTATTTGTATGGACCACCTCTGAATAGTGCTCACTATCTTTACTGCAAAGCACAAAACTCAAGTGGCACAAAACCTTGAAATTATAATTAAATGGTGAGCTTTACTAACAGACAACACAACACAACACATGAGAGGAAAAGTTTGATTTAATCCTGTTGAATTGGAGTATAATGTATGGCTGAGATGTCTTCTTTTGAATGGACTCTTTTCAAAGATGTATTATATTTACAACTTATAGCGATAAACTTCACCAAAGATATTCTCCTGTGTACAACAGTTCTAACAGGTCTTTCTCCATATGCATGAGGATTGTAGTATATGGATAAGTTTATGTGGCCTGTTACATATGGCCACCTATTTGAGCACATGTCGCCTTTGTGTTTGCTCTCTGTTAAATAATCATTGTTTTTTTGTCTGTTCATCGAGTCTTAAAGGTGTATGTTCCGTGTGCTCTTTCTACAGGTTGGCGAGAGGCAACATGTGCTGGTGACTGAGGAGTCGTTTGATGCCCAATTCTACGTAGCGCACAACAAATATTACGAACAGGTAGGATTCAGCATAAGTTAATTTAAATCTAACCAAATCACCTCCATGACATTCTCCCTTATCGAATACTTCGCAGCAGACATTGAACCTTAAATATTTGCCGTTCTGGGCATGCTCTCCTGATGGATGTTTTTTGACACAAGCGCGTGAATGGAATACCAAAATAGTTGTCTCGGATGACGCTTCACAGATAACATACAATGAAGGAGCTGTAAATTAATCTGCATGTGATAAATATTTTGAAGCCGATCCAAGTCATTCCTCATTTTCACACTTAGTGAATCAGATCAGACGCTTTGCTCTGCGTGTCACATGCGCATTCTCAGCAGGTGTCAGGGCTTAAGCTTGTATTCAATAAAGTAGGTTATCACACAAACATGCACGCCTTATACACACACACACACACACACACACACACACACACACACAGAGCCTGCGGTCGTCATGGGAGCATTTTGGCGACTGATAGCAGAAGTACTTTTTCACCCTTTTTTTTTACCCCACTGTAGTAACATTAAGGTCGGCCCTAAAGACATGAACATTCCTTCCCACACATAGGCAGCGACTCACACACAGCTGTTCACCTACACACCCCGATGGCTTCAAAGACCTGCTCTCAACCTGTGAAAATTCACTTTAAAATATCTTCAAATAAATCAATTTCCTCCTGCTTTAACCATCATCAGAAACATGTTTGAAGTTATGCTTTTTTATTAGCAGGCAGGGCAGGGGATGGTAATATTCCCCCCCTCCCGTTCTAGTTTCCTCTCCTCCTCCGTTCTCCTCTCAGGACCTCCTTCTGCAGGCTATAAACTTCAGTGTCACCTGGTGCATGCTGATGCTTGTACATGAGCTCGTAAGGGCCGGGCTCAAGAGGAGAGTTTAGTGGCGTGTTTTACCTCGTCTTTTTGGACATGCATGCGATAGAGTCTTCTATATCAGAACTTGACAACACATGAGGGGAAACATAAAGCAAAGTAGTACAGTATGTTCATAATGTACTGGAACAATATTTATTTTTTTCCATTTAACTGTCAAGTATTGTTTTGAACCTGCCCGTGTGCCTTTTTTGTAAATATACTGTACTTTCAGTTAAATCAGGACTGTTCACTTCATTGTTTACTTGTTTAAATTCACCATAGGGCTAAAAAATAATATTGAATTTAAAAAAAAATTGTCAATTTTGCATTGATTGAAATGTGATGCATATATGTGCACAGGCAGGGGGAAAACAGAAATCAAACTGAAACAAACATTTGTATTCAATTAAACTATAGGTTTAAGAGAACATGCAAGTCCTCCCGTTTAGCCATTATTGGTGTCTCTTGATTTGAATGCACAGAGATCATAAAAGTTGATATTGCAATTGTTTCCATCTTAAGCAAATAACCTATGTTCCACCCTCTGGCAGTAAGCGGGAATGTTTTCAGCTTTGTTAGGAAAAATACACATCATGCATTCTTAGACACATCTGACCTGCAACTATATAGTTCTGATTATATTGCCTGGTGGTCTCTACAGAGATTAAAACCTTAATGTGGGATAGACCAAAGTCTGGCAAACCAACCAACAGAAACATTCCCTATCAGGCTTTTACATTTTTTGATCTTTTAGGTTTCCTGTCACAGAAACTGAATACACATGTCTTCCAAATCATTGACTTGCGTTACATGTTAATTTATTTTAACAGCAATTATTTCCAAGCAATTATGATGATATCTTCAGGGTCTAAAGTAGACAGCTTCTTTGCAGGCTGTCCTATATCAGAGGTTACAGGTTTCATCCTATCTGCATCTAATCACATAAATAGTGCACGTGTCCTTGGGCAAGACACAGGTTTATGTGTCTGAAAGAGCAGAGGTGAATGGACTAATGTAATGCATTTGCCGGCAATGATAATTTAGCTTTTTCTTCTTTCAGTAAAAAAAGTTACTGAACTAATGGCTGATTTTTGATTCACAACGCATTTTGGCATACTTTTTAAAGACTGACAGGGGAAGAAATCTAGCAAGACCGAGAAGTAAAAGAGAACAAATTGTTTCGGTGCCGTGGAGTGGGTGGATTGAGAAATTAAGTCAAGGCGAAACAAAAAAAAAGTGAAAGTCAAAGGTCAGAAGAGAAGTGGAAGAGCAGCAGGAAAAAAAACTGCTGGAGGAGGAGTGGATGGCAGGAGGGGAGGGTGGTCCACAGTACAAAAAGTGCTGAGAGGTGAGCGCGAACAAATGGCCTAGTTTCACTTTTTACGCCATCACATAATATCTATCCTGACGGCTGTAATCGGCAGCCGACCCACCTGCGAGCGAGTACGAAAGGAGCGTGTGAGGCAGGAAGAGGTGTTTCCAATGAATTCAGACAAGCTCTTTTATCATTTAATCAGCCTGTAATGGGCAATGAACAGCCCTTAGCTCCAAAGCCCTACCGCGGCACAGGGATCTTTTGGAGCGCTCTCGTCCACCGGTCAGCAGGTGTGTGTTGATTAGCCAGGTGTGAAGCACTGGATGGGTTTTGACCATCACTACTTGTATTATATTTGCTGTAAACCCAGTCTGACAGATTAGCACTGATCCAGGCTTATTTGCACCAGCACAGCAGTAACGCCAGCACACCAGGTCACCGGCCGTCCCCCTGCCCAGACAGTAGCTTAGCCCTGCCGAGTTGTGTAATGGTTAGCCAGACCACCACATGGACTGAGTCAGCGTGCAGCCGCTACACTTAGACACACTTGGTTTAGACTTTAAATCCCCCAGCATGCTCCGAGGTTACCGCTCTGCTGCCAATCTTCTCTCACCACAGTGCAACATGTTCCAAGGAGCCAAACTCTATAAGAAGACCTGATCAGGAATCAAGATCAGTTTTGTCTTGTTTTTTTGATGGATGAAAAGGAAGCAAAAAGAAAACCAATGCAAATAGTTTTTTGTGTTTTGATTTTGTCTTTTGCGCCCGTTGTCCAAAAAATAGCAATGAACATCTTGAATAGCAATATGTCTTGAGTTAAAGATAGAGTTATTCAGCAAACCTGTTCTGCAGTGATTAAACCTGTTTAGTGGCTCTTCGGTCAGTATTTAATCATGCATCACCTTTATTGTTTTACAAATGCTATATCTAACAACAGCTCTTGTTGGATCTTGTTTTCTTAATGTCATTGTGGTTTTTAGAAGCAAATAGAAGTTTGGACTATTTGAGAATTTCCTTTACAACCATAGTTTGGGGTGGGAGGGGGCATTCAATACCAAAGGACCATGTTTATATACATTTATTACAAGGTTTTATTGTTTATTCAATTGTACATACAAAAATTAAAAATAACTTTTTACTCAGTATTTACTAGAGTAAGTTTAGAAACCAATTCCAATTGTACTGAGCCATAATTATATCACTTTGTTTCCCTCGTTCCTGCTGCCTTCAGACAAGATTTATAGTTGCTATGGTGAAAGAATAAGACAAACCATAAAAGCCAGCTGGTTTTATCTCACAGATGTTACCATACTTTTTTACTTTCAGGGCCTTCCCAAATGGAGCTTTAATTCAGTGATTGTGTTAGTTGGCCGGAAGCAGCTAAACAGAAAATAGTGCAAAACATTATGGAGAGATTAATTGAAAATCTAATTGACAGATGTGAGGATACACGGTTTGTAGAGCTGTTTTCCTGGATATGTGTGTAGACTCTTATAGTTAGTTAGTTATAATTAGTTCAGTTATTCATGGTACTAAATTAAACACATTTTCAGTGTCACCAATGTTCTCACCTGATTCTAATACTACCGTCTCCACTCTTGCCTCAATAGTCGTCATTCTGCTAATTGGCGCTCTTAAAATGTGTGGTGACACTTGTGGATGTGTTGCCTCATGTGTGCAGGTGCTGGTGCCCAAAAGGCCAGAGTTCAAAGGGAAGATGATTGAGGTGGACATTTACGAGGCAGGAAAACACTTTCTGAAAGGCCGTCTGGTCGAGGACAGCAAACCTTTCACTCCGTCCATTGCCGAGCCACTTCAGAAGGGACAAGTCTCTGGTCTCTCACAGGTAATCACACATACTTGTGCTCCAAATGTTTTCCATGAAATCAACCAGGCGCACAATTAGTAGAAATATTAGTCATTTTTCTGAGCACATTTTCAAAGTTTTGGTTGATTGCATTAGGCAAAAGTGGATTTTTATGTATAATTCAATGATTTTGTGTTCAAAGTTCAGTTTGTGCTTTAGCCCCGCTGCACCCATTACCCCCCTTCTTTTCTTTTTGAAGTCTGACCAATCTTCTTCAAGGCACAACGTTGCATTGATGGTAAAATTGTTTCCCCCTCTTTTCTATTTTATATATAATTAATCTCTGTGCAGGCGTGTTTTATGTCTGCGAGTGCATTTTGAGTGCACATCTGTCTATCGGCCACATTTATTCCAGTGAAACGTTTCCAGATAAGTCAGAGACCTCCTCTCCATCTATCAAGCTCTCACTGTCCTTATCAGAATTATAGAATACTTCTGTTTACACCCGGCCATTCTAATTTGTGTCGTTAACAGATGAAAGTGTGCAAGAGGTTGTGTGTCTCGCCACATTTTTAATCCTTGCTTGTTTCCTGCGCCTGTGAAAAAGCAGCAGTGTATCAAGCATGAGATAAGTAATTTAAGATAAGCCGTGGCTGACTAAACTGCCCCAGTCTTCATCCCTGCCACACACATACTTGTTTCTATGCAATTAGGGGACAATAAATGGACTTCCACAGGTTTACAATAGTTATTCCTATAAAAACAAAACTAATCTTGCGTTGTTCTTTTGCATATATCTGCATCACTTGTGAACTCCACAAAATATACAGTATTTTTCCACATAGTGCCATATAGGGGTTTGCATCCTCATATTGTAAGCAATATGAGGCCATGCACACACAAACATGGTGTTAATGTATCTGTTTGACTGCATGTTATTTTTCACTCTGACTAGCTGTAGCTTATAGCTCAGAACACAGAACCACAGAGCAGAATATGATACACTTTCTAATTTCACACTCCATCAGCCTTTACTGTCAGAGGGAGAGCGAGAGGGGCGCACAGATAGACACAAACGTAAGCGGTAGGGACACTGGCGAATGGAAAACCCGTACTAAGAAAAGGGTAAGGGATTGAGGAAAATAAAGATAAAGGGAAGGGAAACATTTCACAGCAAGGCAAGCAATACGTCATTTTGCAGGCTAAAGTTTACGGCGGTGTTCAAAAGTAGTTCTGTCTGATTTATCTGGCAGTCCGTAGTGCAAAGTTTTTGATATAGTGACAGTTGGTTTGCTTTATAGCCTGGACAAGTTGTAATTAAAGATCTGGAGATGGAGCTGCACTGTGTTGCCCGGGCAGCATTGACGGATAGGTTAAATACAGAGGACAATCTCCCTCAGGGATTACCTTGGCCGTAGTATTTTGTATTTGCCTGCATGATATGGATATGATGTGAAATCCATGTTTTTGAAATGAGGATAAAAGTTTAAAACACGTAAACACATTACTTGAGCAATTCATGTTTTTTCTCCCCATTATGCCCAACCTTATTTTCACATCTAGAATACTCTTTTAAAGTAGTCATTAGCTGCCACATGCTGCTAGTAAACACTCAATTCTCATTAAAATATGTAATGTGTTCCGTTTCTTTTTTGTTGTTACAGCTGGCAGTGCTTTTCAATTTTCAAGTTGGGTTGCTATCTAATTTCATTCCTTGATGTACCAATGATTGCTTCTAAATGCATTAATGCCAGTCCCTGCACGCAAATACATATGTCCAATTAACATATTGTTAGATTAAGTGATCTCTAGCACTGCTGCAGTGGATGTTTAAATCCCCAAGTCCTTCTGACCCACATTGACAGGCCTCTATTAACACCAGAGTGGCACTTGTGAAGAGCCCAGTGCTAATAGATGACCCAATGGCATGGAAACCCACTCTCTCTGCGATTGTATACACTTGGCCTGCTTACACAAGTGCCCTCCGGAGCATAGGATGTCCTTGACAGATGTGCAACCCAGCTCTGTCTTTATGATAAGCATCCAGGCCTGTGAAGAAGTAGTGGCGCTCGCGAATGCCAACATCTCTCTTCAAGTATTCTCCTAGATATACAGTCGTAGAAAATGCACACACACAACTACACACGCGCACGTGCACAAGACATGGGTGGTTGGTCTATACATATTTGAAGACCATCTATTTTCTATGAGGCGCTGCATGGGTCCACCTCACACTGAGCTCAATATGTGCGAGTGTGTGAGATGAATGAGTGATTAAGACCGGGCCGAAAGAGACGCGCTCCATGTTGAAGCACAGAGGTCCATAATTACAGATTTTTGGTGCGGAGAAAAACACAAGACTTGAGCCATGAGAGGGAAATGTGTATGATCCGCCCCGTTAGAAGTAGTCCAAACTGCTGCATACACAATTCAAAGGAAGTTGAGAAAAACAAAGGATGTTGTTGAAGTAAGGAAAGCACAATGTGAGAGGAGAAGAAATGGCACTTAAGATTACGCTTTTTCTTGAGGTATAATGTATAGATAAGATAGACCTTTATTGTCCCCTGAGGGATAGATTGTGTGTACCTAAACATTATCATCAAGAAAAAGGCAAATAGGGTTATAACATGCCTGAAGAATTATACTGCTAAAATTTTGATTTTTTAATTTGTATTAAAATGTATTTTATAGTTTTAGAAATTTGATTATTATTCTTAATAAGATGCTTAAAAATAGTAACTCAAAGATACATAGAAATGGATATTTCAGTGCAAGTTATTTCTTCAATTTCAAATGATCAATGGTATCCAGTGAAACATTGCATATTCATGTACTGATATCCATTCCACACAATAAACAATTCTAAAACCAGCATCTTATGAATGCTGCATAGTGGAACCATTAATGCCATAGGATCAAACATCAGGCAGATCTTTTTTTTTCTGTGAAAAAATCCCTCCATAGTGAAAGGAGAAGAATGTCAAAGTTGCTTCACCCTTAGAAAGTAGTCTCACCATCAATATTCAGGCTCATTTATGAGTGCTGGAGGAAGGGTGATTAAAGGCCGAAAATGGCTATAATGCTCATGTGTCAAACACAAATAGATTTGTAGATGTAAGAGATGTGCAATGCCAAAGTATGTGAGAAAATGCAGACGTAGATCTGGAGGAATAGATTTATAGCAGACAGCGATTGCCTATATACCATAAGTGCTGTGTGAGAGTGCTGTCGATGGGAAGATGTGAGATTATGATAAACTGATGTTAGACATGATGACATCAGATTTACACAGCTGGCAGATCAAATCTACAGAGACATGTTGAACCTAGCTCAATTGTAAGGGGAAAGAAAATTAGATTTTTTTTAAAGTTTGAAAAAGACAATATTGTCTTATTTTAGGGGGGGTGGGTAGTCAGGAGCCCATAGGTAAATAACAAGAAATAAATAAAAATATGCATGTTGAATTAAATGTGTTTAGTTGGACAGTTCTATTTAGCAACACATACTTACTTGCAAAACATAATTTCAATAAATTGAATACTTTAAAATCATCAATATGATATAAGTATGGGTGGAATTATAGGTTATTGCAGTTGCTTTTATGGTCTGACTCTGGACTACAAGTTTGATAGATTTATCTTCACTATGTCCACTATACTGCATTTATGGCATTGATTTATTTTTGATTGCTGCTATTTTCCATTTTGTCCTCCCACATTTTCTTCTCTAGAGTGACATGTGGATTGAAATACTTGTTTTTGCCATTTCCAAACAAGACCAAGGTTTTTAGAAAGCACAGACAGAGACATTTTTTGCTTGTATTGACATCTCCCATTTTTTGGCTCCATGCTTTCTCTCCCACTGCTCCTCACCCGTGTGCCCTTCATTTACAGAAATGCCACTTTCCTCTGAGGGAGGGAAGGCCAGTAATGAGTCTTTTTAGCGCCACACAAAAGCCCAGAAAGCACTCAGCAGCACGAGTAAAGGGAAAAGTAACTTCACCAGTGCCTCGCTCCTCAGATGAAATTAAATGATAGAAGACGGAGGGTGTGTGTAAAAAAGAAATGCGAGGAAGGTAGAAGCCAGGGGAAGATCATGAGACAAAGAGAGATCTCGAGTGTCATTCAATAATCAGCTCTTTTCACAGCATACTTCGCCAGAGAGAGGAGGAGAGGAGAATACACCTCAGCTGCTCAACAAATTGACAGTCGGTGTAAAAGAGGGGATAGAAGGTAGAAGCGCCATAACTGTTAGAAATGGTAATGCATAATATCCCCACATGATTGTAGAACGGTTGAATAACAAAAAAAATAACCTTGCTCAAAACCCCATACAAAATCCCCTCGTTTGCGTTTCTTCCCAAATCGCACTACAACCATCTAGAAAAAGTAAAATAATATGAACAAAATTGTAAATAAGATAAGAGAGCCTTTTCTTACTCCTATTGTAGGGAAATTTCAGTGTCATTACAGGACAGACAATATCAGAATCAGAATCAGAATCATTTTTATTGCCAACGTAAGTAACGGGAGGTCACAGACTTGGAAATTGCTTTGGCTCAGTGCAACAGTCAAAAAGAGATAATAAAAATAAGAATAAAAAACACTTCTAAAGAATAAATTTAAATTTAAAATAGAGTTACAGTTACTATTTACAGTATACAAGTGCACATGGTGCACACAATGTAAGGTGACAGCAGTACAGTGAAGTAAAGTGACATATGATGGGCAGTAAAGTGACTTTATAAAGGGCGGGGGGACAGGTTAAGAAGTGTTCAAGAGTCCAACAGCAGAGGGGAAGAAACTGTTCTTGTGGCGGGAGGTTCTAGTCCTGATGGACCGCAGCCTCCTGCCTGAGGGGAGTGGTTGGAATAGTCCATGTGCAGGGTGAGAGGGGTCGGCTGTGATACGACCAGCCCGGCCTCGAGCTCGGGCGACGTACAGGTCCTGCAGCGATGGAAGGCTGCGGCCGATCACTTCCTCTGCAGAGCGCACAATGCGCTGTAGTCTCTGTTTGTCCCTGACTGTGGCTCCAGCGAA